GAGAGAGAGAGAGGGGTGTAGCTATGTGTATCATTGTGTTAGGACATGGGAATTGACTCGGAGCTCAGGGCAATATCATTAAGGCAGGAGGAAAATACCAAAAAAAAAAAAAGTTGGAAATATCAGAAAAATTGAGATTAATAGAAAATATTAAATTTTTTTGACAAAAGATGTTTATTGGCTACAAAAAAAATTGTAGGTATGGAAAATATCGTTAACAAAAAAACCACAAACTTTCAAGCGAAAAATCTAATTTCCAGCCATTAATCGAAAAATTAGTTATTGAAGATGTTTGAATTACGATAAAATAGAATTAAGTTTCAATAGAATTGGCAAAAAAACGAAGGGGAAATCAATAGCCTTTGATCCAACAAATAAGTATAGGGAGGCGTCTTGTGGAGGGATAATTCAAGAACAAATCTAACTATACGTGCCAATAGATTTGAATGAAAAAATGAGAGAGAAATCAATGTTTGGAAGGATTTATTCAAAAGCAGTTTTTTTTTACCAAAAAATGGACGAATAAATCCCTAAATCACAAGATCTGATCCAAATCAATCGAAGAAAGATTGATTTCAATGAATATTTGGGAATGATAGCGAAAACTCTGATACTTTTTTAGTACACTGAGTTAGAGGGGAATGCGGAGTAATTGGGCTCCCCAAGCGGGTGAGTTCGAGTAATTTGGCCAAGTCCAAATGGGCTATGCAGAGGGAGGGGTAGAAATATTTTTTTTGGGTACAAATTACTTTGAGCCTATATATATATATATATTTGTTGTTAAGAGTTGAGCGAGCAAACATGAGAATGGAAAATGGAGAGAGAAAAGAGATAACACAAGATAATGGAGAGAGAAGAATAACACAAGATTTACGTGGTTCAGGCCGAAACCTTACGTCCACGAATCCAAAGCCCAATAGCTACATCTTCACTATTTGGATAAATATTACATGTGCCTATATATATAAAAAACAATCAAATATTGGAGATAAAAGCAAATTGTAAAAAGCTTTATCACCAATAACAAACTTAATGACCGAACGCTTTGTCACCAATAACAAACTTGATGACAAAGTAATTGACTTGATCTTTTCTTATCTCAAGACTCCCAATTGTTATATTCTTATCATTAAGACTCCCCTTCAAGTTAGTGAATGAAGTGGAGCGAAGTGCCCAACTTCCTAAATTGAAATTTGTGAAATTTTGGGAAACTGAACTTGGAACTGGAGTGATTTTTGCTTGGCTCCTTCAAGCGGGCAAAAAATTGGAACTGAAGGGATATTTTGCTCCACTCTTTTGAGTGGGCCAAACTGAAATTGGATTTGGAAAGTTTTTTTTGCTTGGCTCTTTCGAACGAATGCGCGGCACTACGCGGCAAGGTTTTCTTTTGCGCGGCACAGCACTTGAGGCCAGAGAGGCCAGAGGTTTTCTTTTGCGCGGCACAAAACTTGAGGCCGGAGGTTTTCTTTTGCGGCGCGCGGCACAACACCACTTGAGGCCAAAGAGGCAGGAGGTTTTCTTTTGCGCGGCACAAAACTTGAGGCCGGAGGTTTTCTTTTGCGGCGCGCGGCACAACACTTGAGGCCGGAGGTTTTCTTTTGTATGGTACGGCATGCCGGAGGTTTTATGCCCACGGATCCAAGGCCCATTAGCTATAAAGATTACAAAAATATGTGCCTCTATATATAAAGAACAATCACAATGAATCTTGGAAATAAAAGTAAATCGTAAGAGGCTTTATCATCAATAACAAACTTGATGACCAAAGAATTTGACTTGGTCTCTTTTTATCTTTAAGATTCCCAATTGCTCTATTCTTATCTTTAAGATATATATATATATATATATATATATAAATGCTGAGATTAGCTCACTAGCTCATATGAATATATGTGATCATATGAACCCAACGGCCCAGATTAAATC